TTCAGCCGGCGCGGCCGCGACGCGCGGACTCGGCGCGATGCGGTGAGATCGATGCGATCGGCTCGTCGATTGCCCGTTCGCGTTCAATGCGAAAATCTGTCTCTGCGCTTTCGCGAGTCCCGACGAGTCGTGCGCGGCGAAAGTAGACTAAGCAACTAAGAAAGAAAGAGAGAGAAAGAGAAAAGAGGAATTAAACACGAAAGAAGCTAAACGCACGCGCGAAAAATACACGCGATTCTTCGCGTTCTGTAATTAACTCATTAACTCCGACGACCCGACTCTGTGTTGGCGAGGGAGACGGGGTCGATTTTCCTTTCCTCCTTCTGTTTTTTCTCTTCTCTTCTTTCTTCGTTTGTCGTTTGTCGCTCCCTTCATCGATCGTCACAGAGAGAGAGAGAGAGAGAGAGAGCAGGGATTTTCGCGCGCTGCGGAATGTTAAGAATATCTTCTTGTTAAACGTGAGTAAACAACAGTCGCGCCGTGAAATCTTTCACAGATAAACGCTTAAAGCGCCCTCGCAGTTGCGGAGTCACGTTCGAGCGTTTGATGAAATCAGCACTTAAAGAGTGGCTGCGCCTCGCGAGAGTGTACCTAAGTCCCTGAACGTGATTTCTTCGACCGATAAACCGGCGAAATAACGAACTCCACGCTGCAATAATTATTTGCCGGATTTTCCGATCGTATCTCTCGCCTTATCGATTGATTGAATCGATTCTCTTTCCCGACCTTCTCACCTTCTCTCTCTTTTTCTTTCTCTCTCGCTCTTTTACTTTCGCCCCGCATGCAAGAATTATGTTAATTATCATTGATTATAAAGAAAAAGAAATTATAGCAGGAGAAAGATTTCCTCGCAGCGGGACCGTCGTAATCGGAATAATAAACGCAATCGTTGGAGCAGAACACGCCTCCGTTAAATTATTAAGGAGCTTGCTCAAGTCCGCATCTTTTTAATAAATCGTGGATTGCGTTAAAAAGCCGCAAGGGAAAATCGCGAAAGTCTCGAATCCGCATTTTCAGAAGATGGGAATTATATGCCCGCTTTCCTTCTATACGTATCTCCATGAGGCGCACAATTTACATTTTATGAAAATACGGATTCAAAGCGGTTTCGCCAGCGTTCGAGCTTTTTAAAACGCAATCTCCGGCTCTTAAAACTACAGATGGGTCTCAGGCCAGCGCGGCCCGGGAGTATAGGCTCGTCGATGTTTAAACAGCCGCGCGCGGCATATCCTCTATATATATACATACGTATCTAGAGTTTTATATATATCTATACATATATATACATATATATATATATATCTCCCTCCGTTGCGGAAGCAACCGGTGCGAGGGCAAACGAAAGCAAGAGGAACGAAGTTTCGGCCGGCGAACGATTTTTCTTTGCCGGCGCGCTGCATTGCGGCTGCGACGCGGCGCGGCGCGGCACGGCGCGACGCGACGCGATGCGATGCGACGCACGCCGTCCGTGTGCGCTCGTATCGAAAATGCGGTACCATCCGCGCGTAATCGAGCCCGCCGGTGCGGCTATCGGACGCGTGGGAAAAATAAATACTCTCTATAGCGACCGATATATAGCGAGGAAAAGAGAAGAAGAGAGAGAGAGAAAGGGAGACAGAGAGGAAAAAATAAATAAGACTTACGAGGTCACGCGCGCGCGGCCGAGCTTGATCCCGGCTCGATTTCGGTCGCGGAGACCGACCGGAGGAAAGAAAAGAAGAGGGCGAGAGCGGGTGGAGAGGGGAAGAAGAAAAAGTGGGAGTCTCGCGCGCGCACCCCCAGATGCGGGGGGTGGAAACGCGAGCGGTGAAACGAGACCGCGAGCGAGAGAAAATAGGACTCGGTGTCTGATGCGGTGCCTGGTACTCTCTCTCTCTCTCTCTTTCTTTCTTTCCTTCTCTCAACTTTCTCTCTTTCTCTCTCCATCTCTATTTGCCGTTCCGCTATCTTATCGCGTATGCCGCACACACGAAAGGCCGAATTTTCGATTGCCGACGACAGTCGATTGGCTCGCTTGGCGAAAAGTGTCGACCCGTCAAATATCAAATAGCGTTCTCCTTCGCCCNCCCCCCCCGTCTCACCGCTCGCACACACATGACCGTTTTCTTTCTTTCTCACGGGGGAATTATTTATGGAGCAAGAGCCCGGACGGCCGGGTAATAACTCCGTCTCGTCGGTGAATCGTCGCAGAATGAGGATCGTCGCGCGAGGCGCGCGAAACGAAAAATTAGTTTCCGCAGGACACACAGGGAAAGACGGTCCCCGCACGTCTCTCGCCCGCGCGATATGTACTTAATTTTCCATGCGAGTTGGCGTATCGCCCGACACTGTGGCCGCTTATTATCGTTAATGTATACGGGATCCTCGTCGACCGCTGGTGGAACGAAAAAGAGAAAAAAAGAAAGAGAGAGAATAACGAGCAAAGCGGGCGGGAAGCAGGAGGCGAGAGAGTGGCGCGAGGGTCGTCGGGGGTGAGACAGACGAGACCTTTTGCTTTTAACGACTCCTCCGTACGAAAAAAAAAAAAGAAAGGAGCGAAGGAAAAAAAACGGAGGCTTCGGACGCGCGCGCGAAAGTCCGTAGATTAGGTCAATATTTGGTTCGCTACGGGGATAACTGGGTCAAGGATCGGTCACTACCGAATGCGTCTATCGTTCCGATACGTGTTATCGATGATATCTCTCGCACGCCCCCCTCCCCCCTCCTCCCGGGCCGTCGCGCGCGTCGTTACCTGTGCCCGCTCTTTCCCGGTCTGCGTTTCGCCCAGTTTTTCGGATACGTTACGACGTTAAAGTATCTCAACCCCCTCTGCTCCCCCCCTCTCTCTCTCTCTCTCTCTCTGGCCTTAACCGGAGCCTGAAAATACACGGTAAGAGCGCGGCAGGGCTGACCTAGAGATGTCACTGGGTTAGCGTGTCCATGGGCCATCCATAACCCCGATGATACCGGCGATACACGCTCGCTTTTACCCTGTCATAGAGACTGCGGACTGCGAGTCCGACTGACCTGCCTGCTTGCCTGCCTGCGCGCTCGTGGACGTTCGCCAACGACCTGGCGGCGAACATCGCTGATCGACGAGCTTTCGTTGTCACACGGAAAGAAGGACGACGTCGACGAACGACGACGACGACGACGATGACGAAACAGAGGGGAAGGAGGAGAACGGGGACGATAACAATGATGATGACGTATCTGAATGACATAAATCGGACGAAAGAGCGGGCGATCGGAGGCGCAAACAATGCCGCGGTCTTGACTAATTCCGGAGCAATGGAGAATTCCGCGCCGTCGAGAGAGAAAAAAACGCTGCTCGCTCTATTCCCGTGGAAATTCCTCCGGAGAAGTCGCCGTAATCGGATCCTTCCTACAGGATGCTCCAAAACCGCGCCAGATTCCGCGGAGAACATCCTTTTTTTCTTATCCCTTTTTTTCCTAACGACGATCGTCGTGCATCGCGGATCTCTACGATCCTCAATACGACAACGTATCCTCGTGGAGACCGAGCCTCACGTTGAAATTCCGCGAATCGCCCGAGGAAGAATCCGCGCGAGAGATCTTCCGTCGCTCCCCAGGAGTTTAGCTTGTCTTAACTCGTCGAACATCCCTTGCGCCTACGATTATCCGACAGCCAGAAGCATCTTCGACTTTCCGCGAATCGGGGCGAAAGCCAATCGCGGATCCCGGCGGTGAGGTCGCGGGGAGGGAGGAGGGAACACTGAAAGCGGTTTTGGGTCGTCCTGTACGGGACACGAATATGCCGATGCATATTTCCCCGGCCGGTTCATCTTTCACCCAGCGCGAGGCGTAATTTCCTAAATGTCCGCGCCGCGAAATTCAGCCCCGCTCTGCAGTGCAGCCAGTGACGCCCTGACCTTTCGTTTCTCGGTCAACGTTCGTCCGTGTGTGCGTGCGTGTGCTAACGAAAATTCGCCGACGTTCCGCAAGCTAGCATGCGCGCGCGCGAGCGAGCGAGCGAGAGCGACGGGTGCCGCGATAGCAACCCCTTCATGTCGAACGCGCCGTCTACGCGCTTCACCTCCCGCCGCTTCTCGGTATCTTAAAGACCCCAGGTTCAATTTTCGCCGGGCGAACTTTGGCGAGAGTAATTTCGCGAAAGTATCGTATTTCGCCGGAGAGATACGTATCCGCCGCTTTATTCACGGCGACACGGAGGGCGGGGAAAGATCCGTTCTCCACCCTTCCCCTCTTCACTACCTTTCATCCGCTCATATGCGAATTCCATGTCGCTCGGCGGTAAGGCAAATACAGGCGACTGGAATTTCTAATAAGCGCGCACGCCCCACTTTCGGCATTCGCTGAGCGAAGAGCGCGCGACGCACGTGGAATTCGCGGATAATGAATTTAGACGGCTCGTAAACCGAAATGAAAGCGCGATTTCACTCTCTCTCTCTCTCTCTCTCTCTCTCTCTTTCTTTCTTTCTCTCTCTCTGATTTACCTCTGATTATGTCATACATTGATAAAACTATCTGAAACAACATCTTACCGTGACATCATTAGCCTTACTTTCTTTTAGTTATACATTGTCCTCACTATCTTCTTATTTAACACGTAGTATCCTCTAATTTGTAATCTATAGGGTCTTATTGTATCTGCTAAGTCAAATTTATATATAGTTAATGATATAATTTGAAAACACTTATAATGTGTACAATTAAAACTTTCACTATATTCTTTATTTTGCTCTTAAGGGGAAATTTCTCAAAATGCATAATAAATAAAGTTCTCTCTCTCTCTCTCTCTCTCTACCTATCTATCTATCTATCTATCTTTATCTCTCTATCTATCTATCTCTCTAACTTTCTCTTTCTCCTTCTACCTTTCTCTCGAAACAATGTATCGTCGTGTATGGGTGAGATCGACTTTGATATATCCCGAAACGGAGTTTCGATTATAAATATACGCGAACATAACAACGCGTGTAAGAGATTCGTTTAAAAAATACCTCTGTCCGATGTCTCAATCGAACGTGTTGTTGCAGAGACGCACGATGATCCAAGGACGAAGAATGTAGAGAAAGCAGAGGGCAAGGAGCGCGGATCTGCCAGTGTCGCGGATTCAGCCGAGGACATCGCCGACTCTGAAGTCTAATCGCCTCGAGCCGCGTCGAGCACCTTCCTCGCGCCTTTCTCGCTGTAAGTATCGAACACAAACATTGAAACGATCTCCCGGCAGGTGAGAGGAGAAGTCGGCAGCGCCGGAAAGAGAAAAGACAATGAAGAGTGAAAAGACACATCGAGTTGCTGCGAACGTTGATTGAAGAGTGAACGTGGCAAACGATGAAAGCACCAAAATTCTAATTTCCGTTTTCCCGAACATAGTAGTAGTATGAGCCACCCTTTATAACCTGGTGAACGTGGAATATGCTAAAAAAATTCGGTTTGAACGCAATTCTTTACGTAAAATGTCGTTGATGATCAATACACTTGCGGAGTAACCTGCACTGAGAAAAAAATTGAAATTTTGCAAAGTAAATATTTTTTGTGACATTTTCCTTAACATTTTCCTCGACATTTGGTTAGAAAGAAATTTAGCTATGATGACGAAATATATTTTTATGTAATATAGTTAGGTTTTTGTATTAATTGGTTCATTTGCTAAGAATAAAATTTTATTTCGTCGCATTAAAAAAAAAATTTATTTTTGTGAAGTAAACTTTATATTTCGCAAATAAATTTTTAAGTCTTTTTCTCAGTGTGGAGAACACACGTTTAGAAATCTGTTCAGTTAACTTAAACAAAATGCTTGTTTGGATGTGAAGAAACAAATGTTTTGGTTGTGAGAGTCAAAACTTTGTTCTCTGAAACGAAGAACTGAAACAGAAAAAAAGGTTTAATTCAAAAAACTAAAACTTTGATTTAGAGAACCACATTTTGGCTCTCGTAACCAAAACATTTGTTTGCCCGTATCTAAACAGGCATTTTGTTTGAGTCAATTAAATTTCTCAGTGCAATGCTTCCAGTCGTTTAAGTTACCTTTTGTCGCTTTTTCTTGATAAGTTACTAAAAAATTCACTATCATTTAAAATGGGTCACTACAGTCGCTTTTCTTTTTAACTGAATTTTAAATTCGTAAAACATAAACTTTCTATATATATTTTTGCTGTCTCTCTTAATAACATCGCTTCGAAAGCGTATTTGTATCGTTTATGTCCTTGGTTTCATTATGAATTTTTAAACTGTATTATGAAAAAAACCTCCCGCTATGTGTTAAGTTATCCAAAAATAAACTTAGGAAGGTAAGAGTAAATGTTACTTTATTGCTTGAATGGTCTTAGTTACTCTCAGGAATTTGACAAAAAATGTTACTTTTAGTCACTATGTAGAAAAAAAATTAGTCTTAAATCAAAATAGATATTCTCATACACAAGCAAGGATATTATAATATTCTTGGAAGATTTTTCGTCGCGAACTGAGTTCAAATAGTACATGCATCAATACAAATTCAACCAAGTCAAGGATAAAAATCTAAGCAGATTATAATATTCTTACTTATACCATATAGCATAAAGACATCCTACAGACTTCTCAGAATGTCCGAATATCTCTGGGACGACTCTGGGCTATTTTTTGCGTACATTTAAGCTGTATGAATATAGGAAAATATCTATTCTTGATTTTAAACTATTGTTTTCTGTGCATTTCGAGGAGAGAAGAGATCGCTTTTCGTTAGCTTTTCTGTCAAGAAGCGGTCACTATTTCACTATTTTTTCGCTCCGGTGACTGGACGGCAACACTGGAAACACAAATTTCCTGTTTGGCGCTATCATCGTTCACCATAATCAGTCCTCAATTAATCGGCCCGAAGACACTCGGCAATTCAGGGTATAAAAGGTATCCTCGCGACAGAGGCGAGGAGAAAGAGGAGATCATCGGCGAGTCGCGCGTCACGGGCTCCCCTTGTTTCGCGCCTCGGCTGGCTGGAATCGCGACGACCCTACGTACGCACGTACGTGCATGCGTGCCTGCGTGCGTACGTGTAATGCACGCGTGTAGTGCACATGTATAATGCTGCCGCAGTGCCAAGGGAAGTAACTAGCCGCGCTCTAATAATGCGGCACCGTTCGCTGTCACTCTCGTGACCGTCTCTCACAGCCGTCAGTGCTCCGTCAGCGGGTCATATCTCGTCGCCGTCGTCGTCATCGCCGCCTCCGCTCGCCGAAATCGCTATTTCGTCGTCGCGACGTTGCGACAGACCACGATAACCCCGCGTTTCTTCGCGCGAGAACGCGTCGTTAATTGGATAAGTATCGCGCGAGAGACCAGAAGACGAGAGAGAGAGAGAGAGAGAGAAGGAGAGAGAAAGATAGAGAGAGAAACAAAGAGAGAGAGAGAGAGAGAGAGAGAGAGAGAGAGAGGTAGTAGAGAGCGAGCCGTCGTTTGTCACACGACAAGCGTCGCATCGTCGAGAGCAACCACGGTGAGTGCATCCCCGGAAAATTTATATTGATTGTAGAGAGCGGCGAAAAAAAAAAGAAAACATTTGAATCCATGATCAATTCGATCCCCTCGCTGCGCCCTACTTTCTCTCGCTTTTGTCCGCTTCCTTAACGGAAGTTGATCGAGACCCCCACCGAGCTCTGTGTCTTCCTGCCTCTTTTTCCCTCTCCCTCTCTCTCTCTTTCTCTCTTTCTCTTTCTCTTTTCCCACGATCCAGATCGACGCGATTAAATCTTTCCCCGATAGTGTAAAATCGAATCGCTAGCACTGGATCGATCGGCAGTCGCGCCCGGACGGAAAAGCTCGTCCCGATCGAGTCGTACGGCACGCGATCTCGCCGCGGCTTTCGAGTATCAGCGCGCGTTCGGGGTTCTGTCGTGCATGACCAATAAATCCTAATTTCTCGTGACATTAACGCACGGTCTCGCCTCGTGTAAACTTCCGCGTACGACGTTCCCGTGGACGCTGCGTGTGACCGAGCGTACGTAGGCACGCACGGAACACGTAGAAGGAAGTTGCTAATCAACGTGGACCTTCGTGTGTAACTAGAGAATACTATCCTACTAATCCCTCCTAACATGTGTGAGACAGAGGGAGAGAGAGGGATAAATGCCGACGCGTTATCGGGCACACGTATTTCTCGCGCGCAGAGCCGCTGTGCGAACCGGCCTGAGCGCCTAAAGGACACCCGAATCCTCGAGGAAAAAGAACTCATTTCCCGTCACCGTCCCGATCCGGCCGCCGAATCGCCCGGTTCACTTTCGTATCCGCCGGCCGTATCTCTTTCCTGCCGAATTTTCGATTCGCGTGGAACCGCGAGATCGTGCCTTGAATGAACGTTGGAAATTCGTCACGAACGATTAGAGAATGCTTACAAATGCGGTTATTGCCTAGAACGATTAATTCGTAATTTGCAGGGGAAACTCGATAACGAACACGGAGAAAAGTATCTTGTTAATAATTTGTAAATAACATGGAAAAGAGAATTTTGTCGTTGCAGCAAAGCGTCGTTGCGACAGCGATCGAATTTAATTGGCACGGCCATTTTGCTGCTCATATATCCAGTAAATAGCAGTTAATACTTTACTGTTTGAATCTACTGGGCCAGCAAAAAATTTTTCCTCAATGAAGATTCGAATTTCTGCGGGTCATTAATTCTTCCTCGATTCTCGTGCTCGGTGAGATCGATAAAAAAAAAAGAAAGAAAAAACGGATATCGAATATATAAAAAGTTTGTTTCGGGCATGAACTTTGGTTTTCCAGTTAAAGTGCTCGCGCACGATAACGCTTGCGGGGTGTCGCCGAAGCATCGATTTTGCGTCCCGCTGGTCCGCGAGATACGCGCGAGTCGAGGAAAGCGAAATACCTCGTGAAGTGCGAGAAAAGGTGCCTGAAACGCAAGAAAACAGTAATGATAATTATATTTGCAATGATAATATTTATGATGATAACACAATGTTCGGAAACGTCGCGGTTGATAATGAACGTTCGGGTCCCCAAGTTGGATCCGCCGAACTCGGAAGTCTCCGAATTAACCGGTCGAACGACGGCCCGAATCGCTCGGAATATCGCTCGCAGCCAGAAGTTCCTCCAAAAGTGCCTCGAAAGTCTCGGATTCTTAGGTATTGATAACGGATGCAGATGTGCCCGCGTCAGAGACGTATAGATAAACCTACACCCACACACACCCACACCCGCACACATCGTGGACTGCGTCGCGACAATAGTCGACCTCCAAACGCGACTGCCGTCGAGGCGCTGGAAACTTTCGAGACTTCAGACACATTCGGCTCCGAAAATATCCCGAAAACTTGCCGCGTCCGCTGCCGAAAGCTCGCGACATACTCGATTATCGCGAGCACATCCGAGAGCCCGTTGCACACTAGTTGCGCGGTTGTTCGTTGCAGCCGAGCGGACACGATGAAATCGCGAAATCCAAGTTCCTCGCGGACCAGCAGATCGGAGGTCCTGCTGGCGCTGAGTCTGATCCTGCTGCTCGTCCAGCCGGACACCAGCCACGGCTCGCCGTCCCACCGTAGCAGGCACCATGAGCACGACCACGAGCACGCGGAATCGTCGCGCGAGGACGCCAGGAGCGCCAGGTTGACGAGCGAGGAGCTCCCGCGACCTGCCGCCCTCACCAACGATCCGCTGATCGTTCGCACCAAGAAGGGCTTCGTCCGCGGCAAGACCTTGACCGCCACCACGGGCAAGGAAGTCGACGCCTGGTACGGCATACCCTACGCCCAGAAACCCGTCGGTACGTTTTCGCTCGCGCCGAGAGTCGACGCCCGTCGTCGGCCGCCTGCGATCGCGCGCGATCGCCCGTCGGTCTGCGCGTCCCTTCGAAACGTGTCTCGTGATCCTCGCGGTGATCCCCGAGAGAGATGCCGGCTGATGTCTTCGCGGAGATTACTTCCTCCGTCCGGTTAACGAGCGACGTTCATTATACGAATGATATACATGCATACAGTAAAAAGCATTTTGTGTTCAAATCGGTCTTTGGGTTCAAATTTTCGTGTTGAATTTTTCTTTGAAGTTTTACGTAAAATTTGGTGTTACATTTTTAACGTATCCGTGTGTTAATCTAACATATTGCGTTTATGCTATCTCAATATGTATATTTTGTGTTGTATAGATATTCAACATGAGTGTTAAATGTGAGTGTTAAGATAACACATTTTATACAGGGCGTTCCAAACTAATTTCGGCTCTCGTGATGAGGACGGTTTGGGACATTTTGTATAAAATATATATATACTTTAGTATATAAAATGTGTTATTTTAACACTCGTATTTAACATTCATGTTGATCATATATATATATATATTGATTAATATATTAATTTCGTGTTAATTTTTGACTTAATATTTGTGTTACTTTTCAACATATTTATCTGTTGTTAAATTTAGCACAGCATTTTTTACTGTGCACTTAAAGGATTTGTTTTTCGTTCCTACATTGGCTGCACTAGTTCAAGAAGTATGCGTTCCGACATTCACCGCCTGCAAATCTACAATGTACGCAATATGAACTATAGATTTGCAGTACCGGCAGTGAATATCGGAATGTACACTCGAACTGGCCAGTGCAGGAACAAAAAGCGAACGTAAACCTGTCGCTGTCCGGACATCGTACCTCTATCATCGCGCGCGATCTCTTCTTCCGCATAATCCGTTTTCTCACGAAGAACGGAAGCTCGAGTTCGCGATGACGAGTAAGTAGCTTAACAAATATCAAAGCAGGTCCCGATTGATCGCATCGCGCAGCAACTCACCGGGCGAATCGTTCGGCGAGCGCGCTCGATGCGATAATCAAACGTCGCGCTGTTATCGTGCGCGAATTAATGACGACGATTCCTCCAACTACCGTTCGCAGAGAGTGCCAATCGAAAAATGTCAATTATTCGTTTCGGATAGCTCGGCAGATTTTCCGCCAATTACGCTCGCAATCGAACGGCCGAAAGCCGAGAACGATCGACGACACTTTCGATTACGAGAACCGTCCTAAATAACTAATCACGCTCGCGGTCGGAAATTGAGAACGACCCGTCATCAATCGACGAGTACGGCGCGCGAGCACGCCGGCGATATACGGACGGGCATACCGAGCGGCGACGACACCTCCGGGAGAATCGAGGCTCTCTCGACGCTCGACCTTTGTCGCAGGCTCCCTGAGGTTTCGGCATCCACGGCCGACTGAGCACTGGTCGGACGTGCTGAACGCGACCGCCCTGCCGAACAGCTGCGTGCAGATACTCGACACGGTGTTCGGCGACTTCCCGGGCGCGACCATGTGGAACCCGAACACCGAGCTGAACGAGGATTGCCTGTATGTGAACGTGGTAGTGCCGCGGCCGAGGCCTACGAACGCCGCTGTCATGGTATGGATATTCGGTGGTGAGTTCCCAGTGACGAGAGAATCGATTCCCCAGCACGCCCGTACTCCCCCCCTGTTGAAAATCACCAGGTGGACTCCCACGGAAATCTCCAAGGGAACTCTTGCGAATCCATGCAGGATATTAAAAAAACCATACAGGAATCCACATGGATTGTTATCTGAAATTATAGTTTTAAAGGCTCGGAGAAAATTCGGTTTTTTTCCAATTTCTCCCCGGTTTTTTTCACTCTCTATCGGTGAGGTGAGATCAGATTGACCCTGTGACTTCGTTTATTTTACAGCGCGCCGTTTCTCTTTTTAAGGAATACTTCACGTTATTATTTGCTTCTTTCGTCCATTTTGTACGTTAATTATATGAAAAGCGAACAAAACGGGGTCCAACCCCCATTTTCCTGGATACGTTGAAAGTCCACTTTGTCGTTAGAAGGTTAAGAGGACCTAAGTTTTCGGCCCCAGAGATAATCATAGGATTCCACGTGGACTTCCTACATGGATTCCTACTTGGTTCTTTTTTTCAACAAGGACGCCCAGATGCGCCCGAGTACGACCGAGTCTCGACCTGTCTTCCAGGTGGCTTCTACTCCGGCTCGGCCACCCTCGACGTGTACGATCACAAGACGATCGTCTCGGAGGAGAACGTCATACTGGTCTCCATGCAGTATCGCGTGGCTAGCCTGGGCTTCCTGTACTTCGGCACCTCCGACGTGCCCGGGAACGCCGGGCTCTTCGACCAGATGATGGCCCTGCAGTGGGTGCGCGACAACATCGCCTACTTCGGCGGCAATCCCGACAATGTGACGCTCTTCGGCGAGAGCGCCGGTGCCGTCTCCGTGTCCATGCATCTGTTGTCGCCGCTGTCTAGGTCAGTTTTTTTTCTTCAGTTCATTGAACGAGGAAAGAGAGAGATCGAGTATCTTGCTCGTGAAAGCAAACACGAAGAGAATCGCGACGCGAGCTCACGTTAACCTGAAAGTCTTTTCTCGTAAAACCAAAAAAAATTTTCGAACAGAAAAATGCCGGAAAAACGTGTATTCCATGGAGAGAGAGACTCCGAATCAAGTTTATATTTTACAGACAACAACTTCAATTGGAACATTAGTCAGTTCATTTGCCTGAGAGAGCCTCGGATTAATATTTCGAAAGCATTTTTATCGAGGACGTGGATATAACCGGGAGAGAGAATCAGGTGGCGAAAACATCCAAATAAAATGACACATCAATAAGTGATTTCGCCGAATTCGGCGCTCCCGGACTACAGTGGCGTTTTTTTTTGTGGATTTGCTTCCACAGTGTTTCTCGCGAACGTTTTATGAACAGTCCGCCGGACGGAGCGAACTGAAACGCGCTTGCGAAACGAATTCGCAAAAAGCAAGGGCTGCAGCCCGGGAGCCAAATCCATCATTTCTCCGCATCGCAAAAGCCTCAAATGTCAAATCGAGTGATATTNGGGGGGGGGGGGGAGGCGTGTCCCATGAACGCAGACAGACACTGTGGCCGCTGCGACGGGTTAACATTGCGTGCTCGATCTCCCTCGCATCCTCCCGCGAGGTAGGCGCGAGCCTCGAGCGCGAGAGCCACCGCTTGCTCGGTTTCAGGCACCTCTTCAACCAGGCAATAATGCAGTCCGGATCGCCGACCGCGCCCTGGGCGATAATCTCGCGCGAAGAATCGATAGTACGCGGCATCAGGCTGGCGGAGGCGGTCGGCTGTCCGCACGATCGCAGCAATCTGCGGGAGGTAATCGATTGCTTGGTGAAGAAGGACGCGTTGGAGCTGGTGAAGAACGAATGGGGCACCCTGGGCATCTGCGAATTCCCCTTCGTGCCGGTGATCGACGGCTCGTTCCTCGATGAGACGCCCCAGCGTTCGCTGGCCACGTCCTCCTTCAAGAAGACGAACATCATGATGGGCTCCAACACGGAGGAGGGCTTCTACTTCATCATCTATTATCTCACGGAGCTATTCCGCATCGACGGCGCCGAGGATGTCAAGGTGTCGCGCGATCAGTTCATTAGCGCGATATCCGAGCTGAATCCCTACGTCAATCAAATCGGTCGGCACGCCATCATCTACGAGTACACGGACTGGCTGCACCCGGACGACCCGAATCTCAACCGCGACGCCATCGACAAGATCGTCGGCGACTATCAGTTCACCTGCAACGTCAACGAGTTTGCCGGCCGATACGCCGACACCGGCAACAACGTCTACATGTACTACTTCAAGCACAGGTAAATCGCCCTCGAGCGAGAATGAGACACCTTTCTCTTCTCGGAATGAACTTCTCTTCGCTTTCCGCGAGTTACGAGAAAAATGTGACACCACCCCGCTTTCGAGCAGATCCGCAAACAACCCCTGGCCAAGGTGGACCGGAGTCATGCACGCCGACGAGATCAACTACATCTTCGGGGAACCATTGGACCCGTCCAGGGGCTACACAGCCGAGGAAGTGCAGCTCTCTAAGAGGATGATGAGATACTGGGCGAACTTCGCGAAAACGGGGTAAGAAGCGCGCTTTAATTCGCGGCTCGACGCAATCGCGAAGGGCTACTTTCGTTCTTACACAGTAAAAATGTTTTGTGCTGAGTTTTACATACATTTCACGTATCCTAAACAGTCCATACAAATTTTTACGTTAATTTAGCACAAGGCGAACGTGTTGAAAAACAACACATTTATGTCAAACATTGACACAAAATTAACATCCATGTGTTAATCGACACCGAAGTACGGAATGTGTTATTTTAGCATTTATATACGTTGAATATCAACTCATTACAAAATATTGTGCTAACACAAAATATGTTAAATTAACACACGGGTATGTCAAGAATTTAACGCAAAAGTTTTAACAAGAACTGATTTTAACAATTACAAAACGTTTTTCACTGTGTAGTGGATTTCTTGATCATAAAATCGAGATCGTTCCTTTTCTCGAGGAAAATATATACGTAACGTGGTTATAATTAATAATTGAAAACAAGAGCTTCCAGTAAACTGCTTGGATATTCTTCGATCGATTTGGACTTTGCTCCGATAGAATTTTAATATCAAACTTACAAGAGAATGTAAGAGAATTTCGAAACGTGCTTAAACACTTTTGGAAGTCCGTGAAACGTGACAATTCATCGAAATTTCATCCTCAAAGCTGTGCTTGAAAAAATACCTCTTTTATATCCCGCATTACGAGAGATTCAACGTCGACTGCTCGCGGATTCCGACAAGACCCAGAGAGTCGTTTCGCGGACGTGGGCAGCGCGTAGTGCCACGAGCATCTTACGGACATGTGTCCCTTTCGTTTCGGGCAGGGATCCGAACACGGGTGAGATCGACTCGTGGATGCTGGCGCAGTGGCCGCAGCACACCTCCGTGAACAAGGAATACCTGACCCTGGACGTCAATAATACGGAGGTCGGCAGCGGTCCCAGGGTGAGGCAGTGCACCTTCTGGAAGAAATACCTGCCGCAGCTGCTCACCGCCACGTGTGAGTATACACCGTCGGCAGACTCGACATCGAGATGATCGGATCGATGATCCCGCGAGTTCAATTCTCGCCGGGCTCGCCGATCGAGGCGACTGATTCGTCGAATCGGCCGCGTTACTCACGTCGCCGGCGCCGCGCCGCGCGGATTGTCTTGTATGACACCTGTTGAGCCGCCAAGTACGTTTGATTGTTCGCACGGCCGACTGGCTGGCGCGATTGCTGAAATCGCTCCAACATAACTTACGTGGAACAATGCGTGCGCGTACATGAACCGACGAGACGCCTCCGTCCGCCGTGGGAGAGATCGCCTCGTCCCTCGCGCTCGTCCTCGGCTGATCGCACCGGCAACACATAATCGGCTGTTATTTTATTATAAAAGCCGCTTTGCTCGAATCAGCAAACTGACGCGTGCGGCAAACTGGAGCGTACCTTTTCTCCTTTTTACTCGCTCCAACTGCGACCCGGGGGGGGGGGGTAAGAGAGTAATTACGACGTGCCGAACGCATTTGGCGACGGTGCCGCGCGGAAGCGTGAAGCGTGAAGCGCTGATCGGCCTGCGCGAAAGGGTCAGACCGAAGAACGGACGTTTTTCCTGCAGAACGGTTTCTCCCTCTCTCTCTCCGTCGGTTCGCAGAGGACGCTATTGTATGTACACTCTACCGACGCTCGAGTTTACATCATTTATTCAGAACCGCTATCAAGTGCGCCTCGCCAAGTGTCCCACTTAAAGCCGCCGGGCTGTACGTGGCCGCGTGACTGCGCGGCTTCGACGATGAGAGATCTCGTGAGAAAGTCCCGGAGACGACGTGTACAGTCCTCGCGCCGTCTGTTCACCTTTTTCGCAGTCTCATCGCCTCGACGGATGCGATGGGGTGTCACCGCTTCTACTACGGCTATTGCCGGGGTCGTAGTCACTCATCGTAGTCTCGACGAATAATCGCACCTTCGCGGATCGGTTACTGGTCGGACGCGATAACAGCGTAAATAGCTTCGCGCTCGGGTTTACAAGTCGTGGGGGGAGCAACGTGTAATTTGAAATCTGAATAATTGGAGGGGAAACTGCGGAAGAAAAACGATAAATAAAAGGGTCGAGTCGTGGGAGAGAGGAAATTTTCACAACGGCAGTAGGGCGGAAATCCTGGATGAAAATTCTGAAAAAAATTTTAGACGCCCGGAAAAGTTTTCGCGATGTTAACAATGCGGCTTGCTATTCACGTTGTGGTTTGTATGCCAATTAGCACATCAGAATGTCAAGGGCTCAGATACAGTGAGAGAAAAAAGGAATTAAATATACGGAGAAAAGGATTTTTTTGTGATTTAATAAAATTTCTTTGAACTAAGTGTGCTTTTTGAAATAGAGAAAATAAATGACTGTTTGATCGAACAAATAGAATTTTTCAGTTTGTCAAACAATAAATATCTTTACGTCAAATAACATATTCCAAACATTACATTGGTTACAAGCAATAAGTTATTTGAAAGAAGTAATACTATATTAGAAAAATATTAAAGAACTTTTTTTATTTTAATAGAACAATATTTAATATATAATTAAATAAATTGTTTTATTAAAAACGAAGTATTTTTTCTTCCAAATAATGTTTTTTTCTGTCAAACAATATGGTTTACTCTAGTAAAATAATATTCTTATTCAAATAAAATGATGTTTGATGTTAAATTATATTGTTTGTATTAAACAAACCCAAGTCGAACAAATTCGTATTCTAAATCCAAAAAACCATTTTCTCTGTTAGGAAATTAGAAATAAAATATTGAAGATAAGTTATGACATAAAACACAGTAAAAAAAATAAAGAATAAAATATAAGAACTCTTTAAAACGAGATCACCTCTTTTACTATTTTTTAACAAATCTCTACTGTCGTTATTTTAACACTTTCATCAATTTCTTGACAATTGTTGATTGATTCGAACTGATTTCTATTTATGTATTGATGATTATTCAATATTTTAAAAGTTAACATGCAGTCAACAATATAAGCACACAAATTATAAGGAACAGAATTCCGACAGTGTTCCTAATCTTAATTCTCTATTTCTTTTATTATGTATTGAAGCATGTTTGTCTACATGTTGAAGTTAATTCCTTATCTCCAATTCCTTATATTTAATTCATTATTCTTTATTCCATTCATTGTGTCTGAGACTTGATTTCCTTCGAAAGTACGATTCTCTAGTCGAAAAATTGCCGATGAATCGTGGATTACTTCGCGATCGGGTCGATGAACACGACGGATTCAATAGTCTCGTCGCACGTCACGTAACAGGAAGTAATTAAAATACATATTTTCGGGCGTCGCGTTTCCATTTCCTCGATCTCGTCTTCGATTCCCTGCAGCCCTGTCGCTGGTGTTGTGCGCGGCACGTTGACGCTCCGAGAGAAATAGCGCGTCGCGTTTGTGGTCAGTAAGCGGTTCGACGGATGTCGAAGCAAACCTCAATTAATTACAACTCCGGATCAGCCGGCGAATCGATGCTAATTCAATGTAATAAACAAGGGCTCGGCGACGATTATAGCTGCCGGTTAATAATAATAAGCCCTCCGTACTATAAGACAAGCCACGAAAGACGACGTGGTCTCCACGTCGTGCTCACGTGGCTCGGCTTTGTAATATTCATTTTGATTACTTGCCGAAGCAGGCCACCGCGTTCGTGTTTCCGCCGAAACATATGTGTTGATAACCCATAAATTCGTAATTATCCAATTTTCTAAATCCAGACCCATCCCCCCGTTCTCTACCACCTCCCCCGACGTCTCCTCGAGCGAACGTTCGACGAACGAATGCCGTCACGACGACAATTTATTCGTACACAGAGAGATCGCGTCGCGCACCAGAAATTCTTATCGTCCGCGTGGGCTCGCGGCTCGTTAATGGACTGTTTCACCGGCAGTTCCCGGTCTACATGGTTCCACGCTCGCGATAAAAGTCTGAAATTTGTAGTCGCCCGAGTAACAACGTCGCTTTATATGATAATTACGACGGTAAGCTCTGTCGCGGCTTAACCGCACGCACGGGCCGAGATTAAACGGCGTGGCGTGCGAGCGTGTCATCGCGGTCACGAAAGTGAGTGAATGCCGCGCCGTTTCACGACGATCGTGTCGCATACGACTGGGAGAAAGAGAGAAAAAGAGAGAGAGAGAAAGAAAAATCTATAAAGAGAGAAAGGGGATCCGGTAATGAAGATAGTTATACTGTGAAACTCTTTCTCTCGCTCTTCCTTTTCCCCCCTATTCTCTATCTCTCTTTCTCTCTCTCTCTCTCTCTCTCTCTCTTTCTCGCCACGTGGGTCATACGAAAATATCAGCCTCGTTAGGGACTCTATCAGTCCATGACACGCTGACAGGAGGAGTGACATCGAGAGGTCGAGACGAAAAAGAGCCGCGATAACGAACTCCCGTAAATTGCCTGAATAACTTCGGATGGAATTAGGGGGCCGGTTTCGGGCCGACCGTAGGAAAGAAAACACTCCCACGAGAAACGTCGGGGGCACGCCGCCGACGTTTGAAATCCGTCCGGTCCAGAGAGGCGCGGAGTGTGTGCGTGTGTCTGTTATTTCTCCGTAAAAACGTTCCCCACCCTCCTCCCTCTCCCCTCCTTTGTTCCTCCACTCATTTCCTCGCTCTGCTCTGAGCATTTTACCATATGTTTCTTCCTGCGAACGTTCCACCGGAAGCTGTCCACGTGCAACAAGGCTGCAGATTGCTCGAGCCGAGTGATCTCGCGGCCAGGAGAAAACGAAAAAAAAGCTTTTACGCGACCGAGTGGAACATGATGGTTTCTTTGAATCAGTAACATAGACTAGAGATAGACAAATTACACGATGTGCGTCGCAAAATCGACGAGAGAGAGAGAGAGAGAGAAATGGGAGGGGGGAGGGGGGAGAAAAGAGGGATGTTGAAGAAGGATGGCCGATCGCGCACGTTCGCCTCGACGTGGCGTAGCAAAACAAACGAACGGACGGACGGACGGACAGACGGACAAAGCAAAGCGGAGTAAACGAGGATAGTATACTAGATCAGCACTAGCCGTGTCGGGGCGCAGGGAGTGATAGTGACCACCAGTCAACCAGGCAGGCAGGTATACAGGCAGGTAGGCAGGCAGGCAGGCAGGGCGGGTCGATGCTGTGAAAACTCTTGCGTCGAAAGCGCGTTGAATCCGCGAGCTTGCATATGGTTGCTTGCTGTTGAAGAAATTCTTCGAGTCTAACAAGTAGGTAGAACAAGTTCGACGCCTCGTCAACGCGCGTCTCAACGCTCCGACGTTCTTGTCGACGGCGGATACACCAAGAAAGGACGAGGAAGGTGGAAGAAGGCGAATTTAGAATGATCTTATCTCGAAATTTCAGCTTGAAATTTCCCGTGATGTACACGCGAAGTATACCCTTCTGAAATATACACTGTACATAGATAAACGGAACAACAGCTTTAACACATTAATCAAGTTATAATCAAGTTACTAATATTTTCTGTTGCTAATATTTGTTATATTTTTTGTTGTTATATTTTTGATTGCTACACCGAAAAAAAAGTGCTACATTCAAGTAAATAATTACTCCAATAGTTCTGAGAACAATTTTTATTTGGATCAAGTAAATATTACTTGAATGCAACCAAAAAGTTCTAGTAAATTCAATTAATATTTACTTGATCCAAGTAAAAATTTGCTCCGAACTATTGGAGAACTAACTAATTATTTACTCGAATGTAGTATTTTTTCATCAATATAATATTTTTCCTAAGTTATACTAATATTTTTAATCAGAATACCAATATTTTTATTTGCTTTTTTGTTACTAATTTTTTTTTACTAATATATTTGTTTTTCTAGGTGACATAAAACTATCATAATGACAGTTTGCCGCTTTGACATATTGTTGACGTTGTCCTTCTTCGAACAATCAATAAATAATAAATCAACAATGCTTGTACGATTGTGTTAGGAAAACCTAACAATCTAGTTGCGTTGCATATTGAGGCTATCATGTCAATCTGTGTGTCACGGGATGGGAAGCTCTAAAGTGATGGTATGACTTCACGTATTAAGGCTATCGCGCCGCTCTGTATTTGAGATAGTTGGTATTCTCTGATATACGCTTCTTTGTGCTGTTCTTCCGGGCGTCCAAGAGACCTCCTCAGGTACTCCGCCGCGCGGACAGGAGATAAATGATCGCGAATGCAGCGTACGACGTTGCTTTTCGTGCGATTTGCGGTGCTCCCCGTGCACCTTCGGAAATGTCATGTTTAGACTGTGACATTTAACCCGAGACGCGATAACCCGAGCTCGTCGGACTCTCGTTAGCGGTACGTAACTGTAAGAAATCGTCGGAACGACGATAACCGGCGCGGCACGTGGCTCGTTGATGCGTGAGCCGACTTCGGCCTTGGCGTTGTACATGAATGTGCCGTTACGACATCACAATTGTTAGGACTTGAATCAGCAGAGTATATTCTGGCGAATTTTCAAAGCCCATTATTAACACATTGACTGCTACATTGATTTCAATGAATTATTCCTAGGCTTGATTCCTAGGCTAGGTTGACTAATCAAAGTTTATAGTAAAGTTACGGCTTTAAGTAAGTTAAATAAATCTCGGAGAGATAAAGCTAAGTTAAATATATTTCGGAGAAAAAATAATCGAAAAATAATCGAATTTTACGCTGCCGCAGCGAAATCTGTCGATTACTGTGTAGACAGTAAAACGATCTGTCAAGAGTACTAATTGCTATTCGCTGGATTAAGGACAAATTAGCAAATATAGAAAAATATTACTTTGTTCTAACAGCAAATCGACGTGTCCGAAGGACAAATTCACTCAGCAACATTTTTCTATCCTGACGGCAAAACTATTTCTGCTCTGCAATTACATATAATTGGTTAGTTTAATTATGCCAATTAAGTTTTATCGCTGTTGCAACGAGTATGCGATAACAACGACGGTTTCGCTACAACAGCAAAATTATTTTTCTTCGTGCACATATTTCCCGATGCATACATTTGCTAACTAGTTTCATCACAGCTCCTTATTGACCCCACGCGTATTTTATTCGATCTGTGCAATTAGTTAGGTCTTATCCGTAAATTAATGAGACTTTGGCAAAATCATGATACCAGTCACCGATGATCCATCGCGGCTCCCAGTCGACGCAGTCGGCGAAAAATATTTTGCTGGTACAGCAAATTGTTAGTTACTGTGGAGATAGCAGAAAAATTTGTTCGAACAGCAAAAGGATTTGGTAAGTGTATTAATTGCCGTTTGTGGGACATATGTACAACAAAATAACTTGATTATACCAACTAAATCTTGATCGTTGTCGCAAATTTTGCTACAACAGCAAAGTTATTTTTTCCATGTAGCAAATCTTTTCGCTGTCCTCAAGATAATTAACGATCTACCCGCAAAATATTTTTGAGTGTGTAAAACTTCCTCATTTCGGTCTTCCAACTGTAAAAGATTTGACCCGAGAGATTTAACAGGTAAACACGAGCCGATACATCCGCGATATCAGCGCGAATACACACACGTATTCTCGAGAGCGCTCGGGAACAGTCTTCCGGCCGCTCGGGAATCGCTTCCTCCTCGTCAAGCGCGCGAAAGTGAAATTAGTTTGCACTCGTAAGACTGAACGGTCTGTATAGACACACATACACACACACACACACACCCATGTAGCTTTAAGATAGTTCTCACGTTCGACACGTGAAGCTCAGCGATGCTAAGAGATACTACGGGATCGGCGCTTCTGTTACAGCGAAACTGGAGGTCGCGTCCAAGGATACGTGCAGCGGCACCAGCCTCACCGATTCCCGCGTGACCTGGATACTCCAGATCCTGAGCCTGTTATTGACCGGCCTCACTATCCTCTTACCCGACGACATCGTCTAGCTCCCGGCCGGTTCGGTCGGCCGAGCCGTCCTAGCTCCGTCGAGCGGCCCGTTTCCCTGAGGAGGAGAATGAACGTACGAACGCGAGCGCGAGCGAGCGCGAACGGACATGAGAGTGAGAGCGAGCGAGCGAGAGAGAGTGAGCGAAAGGAAGAGAGCGAAAGGAAGCGAGAAAAAGAGAGGGAGAGAAAGAGAGAGCGAGAGAGAGACGAGAGCGAAATCGGGAAATGACGGCAACCGCGAGAGAAACAGACATATCAGTAGTAGACGAGTGCTCGATCGCCGGGGGATCGACGATGACGAAACGACGACGACGACAACAACAACAACAGTAAAAAAGAATAAAAAAAGGAAAAAATAACAATAAGAGAAAAAGAAAAAAGAGAACGCGCCCGCCAACGAGAGAGAAAAGATCTTGCGTCGGCAAAACTCCCGGGGGCTCCAGGGTTCGGTGGAAGAAGGAACGAGAGAGCTCGACCCGCCGCCATGTCGTATGCGTAGCCGAGGGGCACGAGGATCGAGAGGCCGAAGGAAACGAGTGGACGGATCGATGATGAAAGGACACAGGCGACGAACAACGATCCAACAATGACGACGACTCACGGGAAAGAGAGAGAGACAGAAAGAGAGAGGAGGTAAGAGAAATACAACGCGAGACTCTGCGAGCGCGGTCCGAGCGGGGTGGGAGAGATAGTTGAATAGATAAAGAGAGAAAGGAGGGGGAGGGGAGAGAGAATAGCTCGCAAAACTATCGGCGAAACTGCACGCGCCGGTGGTTAATTACCAGCAATTATCAGTTCCTACGAGGTTCGCTGCGAGAACGATCGCTCGCAACGAAGCGGCCCGCCGGAAACTCCAATGCGGCGAGAACTCGGAGGCATGATATGGGAATGCGAGAAATCCGGGAGCGCGCGGACGGTTAACGGACGGCCCGGAAGGTGCGCGAGGGTGCACGACAAATCGCGGGGTTCCGCGAAGTCCGTGAGGATTCGAGACTGCGGAAACGTTCCTGATCGACAACGATACCGCGAGGAGGAATTTGCCGCGTCCGCGTATCATAAAACTCGCCGGTTCGACGTTCCGTCGCCCCAGAACGCGCATATCCCGGCTGTGAAACATCAACGACGCCCCCTCCTCCCCCCGCGCCGCCAGGCTGTTATTATGTGGGTCACCGCCGCCGTCAGCGAGGGTTTTACGAACACGAATCGCGCCGTGTCGCGTCGCGTTTGCCCAGACGTTATCCCGGGGGACCAGGCATGCTCGTATATCGGGAAGGGGGGGGACTATATCGAGCCACAACGGAGAGCATCCGTTGTAAGATCGTAATTCTCCTCGAAAGCTTCGCCGGACCCATGCGGCGTAATATCACGGTCCACCTGGATCACGTCACGTCCTCGTTGCGCAGCAACCCGCGGAAATTCAGCCGGCACGTCGGAAACCGTGCCAAAAATCCGAGCGAGAGTATCCGTATGTCCCCCTCTCCTCCTTTCGCTCTCCAGAAAGAACTCATCTTCAGGGCGGGATGCGGCTGGATTAAAAGAACACCGCAATATAATCGCGTATTACGTGATGGGCTGAGACAAGTCGAATTATCTGACAGATTCGACAAATCCCTTATCTCGTCTCTTACTCCATTCGATTACCGCGACGCAAATACGCGCAAGTGCTGCCCGTGCAGCAACGCGGGCTCGCTGCTCGATCTAAATTTCCGATTGCACCCGCAAACGATGTATAGAACGCGGTTCTGCACCTCTCTCTCTCTCTCTTTCTCTCTCTCTCTCTCTCTCTCTCTCTCGTTCTCGATGTCGAATTAAAGATCCGGTCTACGTAAGCGGACGCATTGATAAAAGAAAGATCTCATCCCTTCGCGAGATACTCCCCGAAAAACCAGGCAGCGTATCCCCCGCGTCAAAATCATCCTCTGTTTAAGAATTCGAGTGGAACAAAAAAACGCGATCCCCCCGCGATCCCCTCGAGAGAGAGAGAGAGAGATAGAGAGAGAAGGCGCACAGGTGCTTTCGCGCTCTTCGGCGACGGCATGCGCCGTATTCATACCTAACAGCCGACGAAGATGAGCGCAATGTCGCGTGAAATTGCCGTCGGCCCCCCGAGCAATGTACAGACAGACAGACTACCGTTCATCACCGGCTGCGTCTCTCTATCTGCACCTGCATCGTCGTCGTCATCGTCTTTATGCAGTCCGTGTGTACACTTGGTTTCAAAACGGTTCGAACTCTTTTTCTCGGTACAAGGCCGATAAGAGAACTTGTTTTTTTATTAATTTCCAGTAGTTAAAATAGTTGTATCGTAAATCAGTGCCCCTACATAAGTTTATTATTTAGTGAAAAAAGAACTTTCCTGTAACTTTATTTAATTATCCAAGTAATAAATATTAATTTTCTGAACGAAATTAAGACAAATATATACACAATATTACAAATACGGAGATATATTATTTATTTTTTACGTTCCTTATTAGTGCTTCATTTATATGCCATTTGAATTAATATAGGTACACACGTAATAGAAAGTGATATATAAGTATTGAAATATGTATCACGGATATTACTCCAGATTGTAAATTTTCTGTGGCTACATTTTCAATAATTCTAAAATTGTCGCATAACGTTTCCATATTAATCCTCAATGTCAGTAGTATTTTATTAAAATGCTAAATATGGTTCGGAGGAAATTAAAAATAGGACATTAACCTCGAGGAATACATAAAATGTACAAAAAATGTCACCTTCAGGTCAATCGTTTTCTAATTGCGCCGATAATTGGGTCACATTTAAATCTATGTATAACGTGAGTTCGAGTGAATTCTTAAAAATCTCGTTTTACGCTACAGCTACTTTAAGCTCTCTTGTTAAACCATCGGCTGCGTTCCAAGCTGTATCGGGAAAGATAAAAAGAGTTCAAACGGTATCGAAATACCGAGTATACGTGCGCACTACATTTGCATCACGGTTCGCACATGTTTTTTTCCTCGATGAAGTCGGGCGCGCGGCAATGGCCATAATTGCGAGCCACTGCCCGCACGGGCTTGTGCACGGTAATCTCACCCGATAGATAAAGGTACAATAAAAATCCCTGCACTTTTGATCGATCTGGCTTCCGGCTTAATATCGCGGCCTTTATGGGTTTGTTTCCGACATTTCGTAAACGTTCCGGCTCGCTTCTAGAGGCAGAGTAACGACGAAAGTGATTTAAGTTTGCATTAAACTTCGATTAAGCTGAGCGACGATTAACTTACCACCGATTGAAATTTTTGTCGTGGAAGAAAAATAGAGACACGGAAGGAGTTGGAAATTTTAGTTGCAACCCTGCAAATTAATCGTCGCTTAAACCTCCGAGTGGCAACCAGGGCCACTTTTATCCGGACTACTACAAGAAATGCTTCTCAAAACAAAATCGCTAAAAATAAAATATTTAGCAATTTATCGTTGACAAAACAGCTGTGTGCTCTTCAAGCAGGAGGATAAGGGAAATGCCGATCAATTTTGGAGATTTTTTTCGAGTAGTTCTTTCAAGAGAAGAAAAATCGAGGAAGACATAAATGATCCTGCTTGCCGCCCCGAAGGTAATGAAAATACATTGCCACTTGGAAGGTTCCTATCGAAGATCTGTGCAACTAAGCCTTAAACATTTTCCCGAGTCCTTCGTCGCGCATGTGACTCCGTCGGCTGTCCGATGTGCCATCGCTTCGGCCGCTGTCATGACCGATTGCGGGCTTACAAGTAGTCGCTTTCGAGATCGTGAGCATTCGATGCATTTCTAGACGCTCCGCGTAACTTGATCGGGAGGAGTGTGTGCGAAGCGTTGTTAAAGCAAACTAGAGAGAGAGAGTGTACGTGCGCCTAGCTCGCCGCGGCTCGAGGTGGTAATGGGCTCCGCAATTCGATCTATACGGCCCGATACGCGCGCACGTTCGCCCACGTACACGAATGCGCGAATTGTACAGTCGATCGCGCACGTAAAAATTTCCCCTATCTCTCTCCGGCCCGGCAGCAGTGGTGCGCGATATCCGGCTCCGTGTGTACGTTTGACCTCTTCCGAGAACGCGCTTCTCCCTGGCGGGAGAGATAGATAGATAGATAGAGAAAGAGAGAGAGAGAGAGGAGAGACTGCGCCACGCGCGAGTTAAGCCCGCTCGAACCGAAAGAATTAAATGACGCTTCGCGGCTCGCTTCTCCCGCCTCTTTATAAGCGAAGCGAACGCGACGACCCGGCTGGCTGTGTACTCCGGAAACGCGAAACTCGATTTTGCGAAGGGAGGAAAAAAGGGGAGAAAGAGCGGCGGAAAAGGGCGAAATAGAAAAAGAATCGATCGGGAAGAACGGGACGACAAGAACGCGGCGCAGCGCGCGGCATACTTTCTTGCTGTCGTCGTCGTTGTCGCTTTTCTTCGTGCGATCCTCCTCCTCCTCGTCTTGGAAGGAAGAGCGACTTCGGGCCGAATAATAGCGTCTCAGCTGGAATATTTCCAGGAGGGCCGCTCGCGCTCTATTGATTTTTATTTCGCTTTCGCCGCTGGCGTGCGAGCCTCGCGCGGATCTTCGTGTTCTTCTTCTTCTTCCTTCGTCTTCTTCCGTCTAGACGTCAGTCAGCGGACACGAGTCAGCGATTCGATCGGAGGCATCTTGTAGGCGGAAAGAGGGGGGGGGGGGGCGCAATTATCCTCTTTCTCAGCCATCACTCAGTGACGGGTCGGCCTTATCGCCTTTTTCAACCGCTCCGCTTAAGTCGACTGGTTTTTCTCGGGCGAACGGGCACGTTGGCGCATCGCGTGCGCCCGTTTGCGAAATTAGACGTCCCTTCGGAAACCTCGTTCCCATATCAACCACAGCCTTCTAGAACTCCGTTGTGGAGGAGCCGTAGGGGAGGCTCGAGTCGATTTCTCGTCCTCGTGTCGCTCGCCGAGCACGAAATTACAACGTTATTAGTCGGCCGAGAGAGGATCCGCTCGTGGCGCGGATTTTACCGTATCGGGGGCGAGAGAAATAAATAGATAAAGAGAGAGAAAGAGAGAGAGGGAGAGAAAAAGAAAAAGAAAAGACCGGTTATAACGTGTGCACGTGTTTGTATGCGCGCACGCGTGTGTGTGTGTGTCACCCACGCGTTCGCTGCAAGGTGAAAGACCGCAAG